ATATTTAGAATATATAAATAACCCCTACAACTCAACATCAAAAAAACAAACCACCTGATATGCAAAGGACTTGAATAGTTTCTCCAAAAAAGATATACGAATGGTCAAAAAATATATGAAAAGATGCTCAACATCACTAATCATTAGGGAACTGTAAATCAAAACTGCAATAAGAAACCACCTCACACCCATTAGGCTGGTTACTATAAATACAAACCAAAAAACAAACCAGAAAATAGTGTTGACTAGGATGTGGAGAAACTGGAACTCTTGTGCACTGTTGGAAGAAATGTAAAATGGTGTGGCCACTAAGGAATAGTGGATGGTGATTCCTCAAAAACATTAAAAAGAGAATTACCATATCATCTAGCAATTCCACCTCTGGGTATATGACCCAAAGAATTGAAAGCAGGGACTCGAACAGATTATTAGTTCACCCATGTTCATAGCAGCATTATTCATAATAGCCAAAAGGTGAGAGGAAACCAAGTGCCCATCAGTGGATGAAAGGATAAACAAAATGGTGTATATATAATAAATGGAATATTATTTAGCCTTAGAAAGGACAGAAATTCTGACACATGCTATAACATGGATGAACCTTGAGGACTTTATGCTAGGTGAAAAAAACAAGTCACACACACAAAAAAACCCAAAACTGTACAATTCCACTTAGATGAGGTACCAAAAGTAGTCAAATTCATAAAGCCAGAAAGTAGAATGTTGTTTGTTAAGGGCTGGGTAATGGGTGTAAATGGGGAGTTATTTAATGGATACAGTTTCAGTTTTGCAAGATGAAAAGAGTTGCACAAGAAGGTAAATGCGTTTCACACCACTTAAGTGCACACTTTTAAAAGGGTAAGATAATACATTTTAAGTTACATATATTTTACCACAACATTTTTTAAGCTTAGGGGAAAAATATGATTGGGATCAAATTTAAGATGTAAGAGAGATTAAAGAAGCAGGATAAAATACATGCATTGTTAGTAAAATAGGCATCATGAGCACTCTATATACCCAAAAAACCATTTCTCCCAAGTTAGTACAGAGCCAAACTTTAACCCAATCTAAAATAAACATTATACATAATAAATTTGTAAGACTTAAGTGTATTGTCGATATTAACCATAAACATTTCATAAAACAACATCCTATGAAAGCATCAAGAATCCATTTTTTACACATATACAGAATACAGTAAAATAGAGGAAATTATTTAACTATATGTAGAAATGTTAATGGACAGTAAAAAAGATCATTTTGGTCATGCTCTTTATAGTTTAGCAAATATTTTCCACTGCTCAGATTCCCTCTTTCGCTCAGAGGAACTTCTGCCATTTTAAAAACAATGCACCCAACAAGGTCCAAGCAGCTTTTTTCAGCCAAACAAGCGTCCTGACAGAAAAAAAGCGCTTTCCTAAGGATACCAGAGCGATCCCAACCACCGTAATGGAACTTTCCCCCCTTGTCAGGGCTGAGGCTACAGTGGTCCTTTTTAAGCATGAATATGAGAGAGCTATTTTTTTCTCATCAGTACTTTTGAGCAATGCCAACTCCCTTAAGCAATTTTCCCTAGTCACCAGGACATGGATCAATCAAAAAAATGTAAATGAACTGTACAATTTTCTCTGCTCAACAATGCAACCAAAACTAGCAAATCTGGGTGAACTGTTGTGTCAGGAAGAAGAATTTGGTTAGAATGACGCCCCCTCCCCCACACACACACACACACAACTTATCAAATCCAAACAAGTCATAAAACTCTGAATAAATTTTCCTGATTCTGCAACCTGAGGATCTGTTGCAGAAACAGAGTTTACATAACAAGAAACAGAACCCAGCAACCATGTTTGCTGTGATCCTTGTAAAGAAAAACAATGCCTGCCTGCTAGTTAACAACTAATTAAAAATATATTGTATTTGAAGAGTGATTTAATTTGCCTGTATATTACTGGTCTGAACAAAGATAAGCAGATTGCAATTCTGTATATTTGTCAGTTCAAAGCCCTAGATATAGAAGACCCAGCTTTCTACCTAGAAAACTATGACCTAGGATGGCAGAACAGTACCAAAATAATTACTAAAATTACCCTTAAAAAGGGAAACACAGGTTTATAAAATTTAAAAATATTATCTGCTGTTACCTTGCAAATTTACCAAGTAAATACTAAATAATTCCTTGACTAAGCAATAAATGGGCCCATCTTAAGCAGGGTATTGCGGCCTGCAGCGGTGGCACTGGCGGAGCAGCGAAGTCGGCTAATATTCCCTCTCAGGGGCTGTCTCCTTTTGGAAGGAAGAGAAAGGAAAACTCGGTCTCTAAGTGAGCCCAACTGAAAAAGAGAAAGTTAATTTAAAAGGGTGTGAAAAACTGATGGGAGACCGCCTGTAAGTATATTAATTCTTAGTTTCAAAAAAGGGTTGGGCGGCGACCTTTCGCGCTGACGTGCACCGCTCACGGGAGGAGCGCGGCGAGACGGGCACCGTGCACGTCTTTAGAGCTGAAAACGTAGGCTCCCCACGACGGTCGCTCCCGTCTGGAGCATCTCGTCGCCGAGCCAGCCGACGCGGCGCGGGCAGGGCGGCTGGAAGCAGGGCCGCCCAGCGGGCTCCGCGGGGGT